TAATAATAATAATAATAATAATAATGATGATGATGATGAACTGATGATGATGATGATGATGATGATGATGATGATGATGATGATGACGGAATGATAATGAGGATGATGAGGTCTGATGATGGAGATCAACTGGTGACGATGATCATAATTATGAAGACTGATGATGATAATCAAGATGACTGATGATGATGGTAATGACATGATGATAATGTACATGAATATCATAGGGATAGGCTTAGGCCTATTATATAGGCTACCATCCGCACGTGTGCAGAACTGCTCTAATCTTTGAAACCGAATTTCAACCTCTATGGAAAAACAATGTGACTGGCAAGGTGGTGTCGCTTGTAAAAATGATGAGTAAATTATTTTACCGATATATTGCTTAAGCCTAATTGAACAGTTGCCATTAATATTTTATGAATAGAATTATCCATGATTTTACAACGACATTATACTGAATTATGGTACTGTAAATACATTTTGTGGCGATCAATAAAGTCATGGTTACCGGCTTTTCTGATGGATTATTATTGTTGTAAATACAACCTATACCAGTTAAACTACTAGTATGATATGCATTCATGAAATTTATATACTTCTCACATGAAGATAATTTACATAAAATATTTACATCTTGATTAAAAAACCGCATACATTGTTTGGTGGCAAACCAAAACCGCATAAAAGATTTTGTGGCAAAAGTAAGGTAAAACAGTGAATTTTGGATCTGATGGTTTTATTAAGAGTTTCTAATTTTCAAATTTTCTTTGACAAAAACTGTATCCCCATAGAGTCATGATGTACCTAGTCATGATCTGACGTCATCATGGCCATATTTAGGCATTGTCTGGACAGGGATTTAGAACTTAATAACGTATTTAAACCTTTCAAATCAGGAGATTTATTAGGAATGATATTTTGACTTACCTGCGTGCTGTACTAAATGCTCAGTAATTCGAGTTGGAATCGAACACACAACCTATAGATAACTAGCCTGGTGCCATAACCACTAGACCACCGAGCTTGAGCTTAGTGATTAGTATTGAATCCGATACCTATGTAGCAGCGAGTACTGCAATGCTATTCCTGTGTTCGGTATACTTGAATCTTTTTCCTTAAATTGATACGCATAATTTGATATCCCCTCTTCCTGTAAGTATATTTTTGTTAATAGTGCCTTACCAAGAGACACGTTCCCTAATTTATACCATATTTGGTATAGCTTTTTTTATTCGAATTTGATGAATTATTAAACTGAATTTAGTTGACTTATTTTGATTAAAAATAATTCTAATAATAATTAGGTATTTGTAAAGCACCATTATCACTGAACCGTAGTAACAATTTAAAGTTTTCCCAAAAACGACTGCGGGTACCACTGTGTCATAGATAGGCCTGTTTATTTATTCTTTTTTTCTACTTGGCGCCCTGTTCATTAGGAATCCTCCCACAGGACTCACTGCTTTATTATTCTCATAATGAGGGTTAGAGAGTGATGTTTTTTTAGACGTGAGAATCATCCTGCTAACACTGGAATTGGACGAGGACTTAGACCCAGGACCTTGGGATTGTAAAGCAATCATCATAACAGTGGTGGCGCCAAATGAGACTCGATTCGCTCCACTAGCACCCCCCCCCCCCGTCGGGGCCTTTAGCCCCTCCGTCGGGCAGGTCCTGGCGCCACCACTGCATCATAACCACCAAGATATTCAACTACCACGATACTCATAAGTCGGGGCCTTTAGCCCCTCCGTCGGGCAGGTCCTGGCGCCACCACTGCATCATAACCACCAAGATATTCAACTACCACGATACTCATAATTAAACTTTAATTTCATTGTAGACATACCAAGAACGTAATACTTAATCTAACCTTAAAGACGTTGCTAATCCTACGCCTTAAACTAAGCATGGGTGGCCGTTGATACTATTATACTACATTATTGTATAATATTATATTACAGTATTTTATATTATAGTACGGTATAGTATATAATATTATAGTAAAATTAAGTATATATACATTCATATTATATAGGCTTATTATATACACACTAATTATAGGTATATAGGTATATATATATAATATATATTATATATATATATATATATATATATATATATACTGTATATATACTGTATATATAAGGGCACTATGCTGGATGGATCATCTTCTGTAAAAAAGGTCAAATAGGTCTAGCACAAAAGCATTGATATTTAAAACTATTATTATATGGCGACAGTTCTATTAGGCTTAAACCGCATTTTACACATACAGTATTTAATATGCTGGCATCGTTAATATGAATTTTCACATTCATTTCTTGCGTATTTGGAGGCGTATATGGAGCCTAGGGTCAAGATGTTTGCACGATAGGTCTAAGTTATGCCGTCAGGTAAGAAACATACCAATATCAAATTTATAAATGAAAACGCAGTTAAAATTGAAAAAAGAGAATGAGGATAATAAATAATAATCTATAACTTAATAAAAAACGTGTTTCTGATTGCCAGTTTGGTAGCATGCATTTCTTTCAGCTACTCACCGGCCCTTACACTGCTTTTGAATTCTTGAACCAGCAACTTACCTATAATAAGCATCCGAACCCACGAGCTCCGTTTCATTTTTTTACCGTCGGCTATCAGCCACTTATCAATTATTTTGCTCTGTCTTTTCCCGGTACGTTTCGCGCTGCACACAACTCCCATTATCGAAGATGTCCATGCAGAAGAGCGTTATGTCCACGGATTTTATTGTAAAGAACCATAGAAATCCACCGACAAGCCACTTAAAATTGAACTGAAAGGCCCGTCGCCTTTAGTAACCACAAAATGGGACGTTTGTGTGTAAGTTTCCATTGGCTTATGATGGATACGCACGTGCACCGTGGAAGCATGGAGCACCAGTCGAATCTCAAGATTGATGTCCAGTTATCGCGACATAAAAGCATTAGGATGGCACACCTCCTCAACATTGAGTTCAGTATTACGACTTCCGTCACCAAAGCAGCTTTTAATAAACACAATTCTATCTGGACAACCAGTGCCACATCGCACTCAGGTTCTATCATCAATGAAATGAATAATCGTGAGAAACGCCACAGAACGGGCAATCGTTCGTGCACTTTTTTCGTCTTTATAATTAAAGAATCATTGAAAGTTCATTAGTAACTGGATGAAATAACACGAACAAAGCATCTGCTTCACTGGCATTGGCATACAATTGAGAGAACACCTTGGTTGTACTGCGTTCAAAGATCACGGAGAATTATTGGTAAACCGGCATAATCATTATTATATGATACGATAATGATAGATATGTTGGGCTGCTTCGAGCAACTGTAATTAACTTATTTATTTATCATTGTTGTTACTGATGTCACTTCTACAAAAACACGCTACTGTACTCAGACCTACGCCTATAGATATGCATCAATTACTAAAGAGCTCCACGCATCTTTAAATAATCGAAGATACGTTGTAACCTCAGAAGACGCAGATTGTTATAGAATTTCATATTAACAAATTCAAAACCCAGTTTTTTTTTTATATTATTCTTTACTTGAATGGCAATATGTTGAAGATGAAGAAAACGGCAAAACATCTTTTGAAATTTAGAATTGTGTTGTCAATAATTTCCAATTGACCTCAAGTACGAATATTATTTGCAACTGGAGTACAACCGGAAAACGTTTTATTGCTTTAAAAAAAATGGTATTTTCAATCTATTTTAAACTGCATCGGTTGTTGTTTGAGAATAAATCCTGACTAGTTTTGTTGACATCAATCGTTAACGTAAACTGTTATAATGTTGGAAATCTGCAGTACGCGGTGGTTCATTTGCTGCTCAGAAGGTACGTTATTCTGCTGAAAGGCCTACTATATTTTTTCTTTTTGTTTTAATAATGTCCCAATTACAAAACATCAAGGCACGTTGGGCATGCAATAATTACGTAATTTTGATAAAGTACCGCGACATTATTCAAAATAGAATATATCGCTATAAGCACTGCGGTGCATTTTACAGAGCGCCCTTATTCGACAAAGGTCCTTACTTGTTCATTAATTATTACGACAGGCCTACCCACGACTAATTATCAGCCCTACACACACGATGTGAAGTGTCTGTAGTGTATCAATAAAAGTAACAAATAGTCTGAATACACTGCCGACGTTATTTGGCCGACGCGATCGGATGCAAGGGCGCAGGACTGTTTTGAAATGCTGACTGGGGGAGGGGGGTGGGTGGCAGTCGTGAGTCCACACCCTTGATAGTACATGGTCGGAAATGTCACTCTTATAATAGTAAAATTCATCATCATGTTCCCTGGCTGTACTGTCAGCGCTCTTTCGTTAAAACCTGGGTCATTGATGCAATTCATTTCAACAATTTCCAGGCATCTTTTTAAATTATGAAATTACTTTGCGGTGAAAAAGTGGGGGATCAAACCCCCTTAAAAATGTGGTGGAACGTGTTCCACGTCCCTAGGCTCCCCATGATCTGCGCTCATGATCGCATAAAAACGCAACACAAGGAAGTGCGCTCCAATGGTGCGTACAAGGGATCTTTTTGTTTTGTTTTTGTTTTTAAATGACGATCCGTTCAGTCTATCACCGACGATAACCAATCGACGTGGTATTGTAAAGCGCTCGCAGAGTGGAGATAGATTCGTCTATAATGACGGACGGTCGTATGACCGTCGTGCGACACAATGTTTTCCCGGCTGAATGATGATAGGTAGAAATAGTCACAAAAATGACCATGCAATTGTACATTATTTTCTATACAATTTTCCTTTTTATGAACATGATTAGCAATATGACAACATGATTTTCATACTCTAAACACAGCAATAAATAATATTTACATTGCCATATCGTTTTTCTTAACATTGTTTACAATATTTTACATGATATTCTTCAATGCACATCGAATAAACGCGTGCCACAACGGACATATTATGTTAAAAATGATCTTCCAATTAGGTTTTGTGTACAAAGACTCATTGACAAACGATTAGAATGTCAACAACAAGTTAAGTATATTCGACACAAGCCGTAGGCCTACCTACAGTATTTGTATCCTATAATTTCCACTATCACATACAATAATCTTTCTATTGATCGTCACAGTTACCGACATAGGCCAGTCAAATTGTCCGGTCAAACTGCCGTGTTCGCCTATAGTTGCCAGGCTGGCGCCGCCTTTATCAAATATCTGGATACGATGGTTTCCGGTGTCGGCTACCACTACGTTACCGTCCTTGTCCACGTCAACTCCCCACGGTTCTGATAACTCGCCAATATTCTTCCCTTGTCTACCATACTTTCTAACACACTGTCCGTCTTTTGCATACAACCACACGCAGTGGTTACGCGCGTCAGCTATTAGTATCCTCTCATCGCTCGTCAACGCGATACCCCTTGGCTCCATACACCGGTTTTTGCCGATTTTTCTAATGAGCTTACCATTCTTGCCTCGAATAGCATCAACACAGCCGTCCCCATCGTTACCGAGATACAGAATTCGCCTACTAGATATGGCAATTCCGCACTTAGTGCTTGCGTAATCTGAGTGAATAGCGCCTTGGTAGACTGAGTAGATACGTTTTACTCGTTCCGTAGAGCAGTTGTCGAATAGAAGAACATCGCCAATGTTAGTGACGGCGACTAGTCTTCCTCGATCATCTGTGCATAATCCGCGAACGTGACCAAACCAGGGTTCGCCGAGTGGCTTTTTAAGGTACAGTTTTTCGTCGAAGACACTGATAGTTTGACTAAACTCCGTCGTAACTGCAAGTTGTTTTGTCGTCCCATTGCGAATTAAAGCTAAATCCAGTGGCCCCTCTTCCAACGTGTTGAAATACCTCAGGCCAAAAGTGAGCGGCTCCTCGTCGCTCCATTTGTAGTTGACTGGTCTCTCGTTTAGTACAACTTTTAAAGCAGACAATTTCTGGACAACCTCAGCTTCGCCACCTGACTCAGCAACATGATCCCATGGACGTCCTTTAGCTTCATTGATACCATTTGTTTCTAGATGGACATGTCCATTTTCTTTCGTTTGTTCGATTTGTCCAACCTTTTTCACTACATCGTCACTCGGTTTTGATACGGCCTCATTTGGTTCGGTTGCAATGTCCTTAGTCGGCTGTATAAACTTCTCTATGATGTTCGGCGAAGGTGCCGTAGTTGACTCATGCATATTCTGATCCTGAATTCTACCGAGGTAGTTGATCTGAGAAACCAGAGATTCTTCCATAACGTTTGAAAATACAATCGACTCCTTGGACCCTTTAACACTTGAGTTTACATCCATTATCCGGCGGTTTAATTCTTCAATCGTAGGAAGAAAATCAGTAGCCGTTTGTAAAAGTGATGTGAGCTCCTTTGCCGAAGGATCATTACTTCCTTCCATCAAGTCTACAGCTGTCGAACAAAAGGTCACTACTTTCCTCTTTGTTTCTTCAATCGTTGAAACCTTAAGCAGGGCGTCATTTACAATTTCGAAGTACGCGTTCACATCACTTCTCAAAATCTCTCGTCGTTTCTCCAAGCCAAGGTAGATTCTTTGGAAGCAGTCATCAATTGACTTCAACATAGATTTTTGATCTTGGCATTTGCTCGATATCACCTCTGCTATCGGATCCAGCTTGGATAGTTTGAAATTAAGACTCTGAATCTTGGATAAAAGGCTACGTTTCAGAGCCTGTACGTTGAAAACCTTTATTTGTGATAGTCTGCGTTGTTTTTGAGTCACGTGTTGCATCATACTTATTATTGTGAGATTATTCGCAAGGGCCTTGACACCATCGTCAGGAACCTTATACTCAGAACGACAGGTGGGACACACGAAATTTGTCCTTTTGCCGACGATTTTGTGTAAACATTCTAGACAGGCTGTGTGTTGACATGACAGCATCTTTGGTAACCGTTCACGGTTATTAAAAGATTCGAAACATAACGGACATTCTAAAAGTGATGATAGACTTTCTGACATTTCTGAAAAGAGAAAACTTTCAGCATTATTCTAGCACATCTAGTAACAATAATAATTATATGTAGTGACATTGGAGTGGGCTTCGTGGGAGGTTTTATGCTTCCAACTGATTGACCGTGACCGACTGCTGGTTGTATCAAAGAATGTTGTACATCCCTCCGCTACGGTTATAAATTGGTACTTGTTGGGATGTCAATGGTTTGGAACGAAAGGTTGTGAATTGGCATCATGGCTCTGAACACACAGCGAAAGAAGTGGCTCATTGTGCAAGAAAGCTTAAGTACCGGGGATATCCAGGTGGAAACGCATTGAGCAATAATTTCTGAGATGAATGTGTTTGCTATGTTTTTGAAAACTATTTTTGTCGCATGGCGTATCGTTGTGTCGCATTTGAATCGTCGGCTGCTTAGGCATAGTTTCCCTTCGTTAAGAAATGAATCTTTCGGGAGTGTCAATCGAGCTTAACAACTGACCAATCAGAAGAGAACTTATCCCACAAACTCGCGCGTGTTCCACAAACGCAGGTTGATTTGTGGAACTTTAGCAGCAATATACAAGGGCCGGGGTGGTCTAAAGGAAAAGTCCACTCGGGAGTCGAGTGATGGTACCAAGAGCTAATCTCTCCACAGATGGCTAATGGTAGGCCTACATTTTTTCGTACCAATATTCATGAATAGTTCTATATTTGATGTGAGAGTTGTTATTGGTTAATTAAATGATGACTTAAATTTGTTTTATTTGTTATTTTAGTATTTATATAGCGCCTATTCCGTTAGGTTAAAAAGCGCTTTGCTGTCCCTGTCATTGGGTTAACATGCTAAGTATCGCTGCCATATTAGCACAGTAGCAAGCAACCCCACCAGGAACCATTTATACTCCTGGGCGGAGAGAAGCAATGTAGATAAAGTGCCTTGTTCAAGGAAACAAGCGAAATGCACAGCTAGGGGTTGACACCCCGACCTCGAGGTTGGGAAACCCAACAGTTCCCGCTGCGCCAAACCGCTTCCGATTAAGATAGATTTAGTACTCATAACACGAAGCTTATTAATAAAAAATATGACATTAGATAATCGATTGTCTTATTTAATTCAATTTTTGATTACCTACCACCTCAATGCATAGCATAGGTTTTAGCAAAGGTAATAGACAAACATGTTAGTGCTTAAAGAATGATGTTAATGTACATTGTATTGTAGACAAAGAACAGGTACCAGGAGGGAGGGTGGGGCGTCACTACGAACAATTTAAGATGGTTTGAATCAACACCCTCACGGAAGTATGGTTCCTTCATGACGTGGGTGTTGTTGATAAACTAATATTTGATAATAGTTGATAACTAATATAGGTGTTAAATTGAAGTTTATATTTAGGCCAACTTAAGACTATTATTTTACTCATAAAATGCCATTCATGTGAATAAACTTTTAAATCCTGTTTAGCCCCTCTAAATCTGCTCCTGAGAAAGGACCGCGACTCCTTTTCAAGTGAGGAAAAACCTATATCATACCACCATTACCATATTGTATGTTACTACGACTTAAATAGTATATTCACTATAAGAGATGGAATTGAGGAGGGCACATCAAATAATGTATGTAAACTAGGCCTATTCACAGTCAGTAGAAATAATAATGAGTTTACGAGAATCATTATTTACAAGGAATTTGATTAAATTCTGCCCTGTAGGCCTTTACACCATTTATGAAAAACAGAGACAAATAATTTTACAAAGTGCTTTTTTCATTTACTTTATCATAAGTAAGAGTAGATGTGGCTTGAGTCGGAAATAACATTGCGTATGCCTATTATTATAAGGATATGTATAATGCACGACCAGCTTAGTTGAGAATTTTGCTTTCAATATTAAAAAAGAATTTAAAAATGGGCAATGCATAGGTTATTAACAACTGTAATCTACCTTAGCTTTTTGTCATCAGCATTTCACTCAATTAAATCATAAAATCATTTTTGAAATTACTTTCTTGCTAATTTGAAGTAAAAAAAATCATCAACTTGAACATAGGTATTAGTGGACCATAATTTTACAGCGAATTAATGGTGCTTCTAGTAACTGAAAGTGTTCTTATTCTTAGTAAAACCATTCTATATTAAAAATCACAATAAAAGAATGACAAAAACCCAGGTCATGGCTTAATTAGGCGCCAGAGTAAAAAAAAAATCAGGGGTAAATATTTTTTTAATTCAATAATTTCTGCTCAAGTTAATAATTTGGATGTTTTATTGCAAAAATGAGCAGTTAATTAAAAAAATATTCAAATCATTTTTTGTTTCTTTGTATGACCAATACTTTAACTTGAAATATGCTACGTTTGCTAGGGCCGCTGTCCGGCCTGTCCTGGTTCGCAGGTACGGTTACAATTCCTTGGTTTCAATAACCATACATAAAAAAGTGTCTTGGTTGGAATTTTGTCTTGGCTTAAGAATTGCGAATGTGCCATAATGTTAAAGCAAAAGTATTGATTGATGGTCAAATGTTTTCTAATCTATCCTTAGGCCTATGGATAAATGTTATGTTGTATTGTAAGCTTAGCTTATGCTAAGGCCTATAGATGTTAAATTTACACCTATTACTATTACAGCAGTAGTATGCTGTATATTAAAAAGAATAATCCTAAAAACTACAGGCCTAAAGGTTTCTTACCGCTTGCCTTTTAATTATTTTGTTGACTAGATAGTTAGCCTGTAAAAACATCCACGATTATCAGAGAAAATGAAAGTTTGATGTATTGACCAGGCGGCCGAGATTCGATGTAAACAATGGAACTATAACAACCAGGATAGCCAATCGGCGAGAATGTAAAACGCGTACGCACAGCGCGTTTAGGCTGATGCGCATAGAGATGCGTATGTTTTACTGGTCACCTAGGAACAGTGTGCGCAGCACCCTCTCAACAAGCCGCGTGAAATAAAAATGAATGAAAGAATGGATACTGAGATTCCGAGCAATTCGTAGGCCAACATAATGAATGATTCGCATTTCATTATTTTGAAATGATCATAAAAACAAGAAACTTTAGTCTAGATGTAATCATTAATGTAAAGCCTCTAGCACATTTTAGCAGAAGTGACAGCCGCAGACCATGCTCAGACATCATGAGAACCCTAGCACATCAAGTGTTTCTCATCATGACTCGACTCATTACATCAGTACTAGCCATCACTGATCAGTTATCAATAATATTTAAGTACAGTACCAGATACCCAGGGTGAACAGACACTGGTTAATGGCTTACCAAAAGAAGGGACCATAGAAACTTGGTGTTCGAACTTATTAAGACATCTTGATTGTTAACGGAATACAAAAGTGGACATCAAGTGCAAAAAAGATTATAAATAAAACCACAACCATTTTGACTACCACACTGCAAACATTTAAACTCGTAGTGTATACCGTGATATTCTGACTAGATTGGATCTGGACGAGTACTCCTCAATCAATGCCTCTAAAAGACTTAAAAGTTCTTCTCCCAGAAAGTTCTTAAAAGGCTTAGAGGTTCTTCCATCATGATACAACAGACGTACCCTAAATAATTTCAAGAAAATAACGAAAAAAAGAAAACATAAAAAATAGGCCTATATTTAGTTAGTAGATGTTTGATTTGATTTGAATTTATTTGGTACCAATAAAATATACATACAGATAAAATACAGTGATAAAATATGCAGGAACAAGAAAAATATTAACAGATAAAAAGCCTATCCATGATGTTATTAATAATCTTTAGCTAGGTCTTTAAAAATTAAGTTCCAAGATTGTGCATAAGAGGAAAGTTTATTTTTAAAATTCAAATGCTTGAAAACTTTCTTTGGAAAAAATCGCCTCTAAAGATAAACTGATAAAAAATTATTTTTGTAAATTTCAAATGTTTGAAAACATTGTTTGGAAACACCTTCTTAAGATAAACTGATGAATTTCTTATCAAATTTGTAAAGGATTTTTTAAAAGTGTGTCTGAAAAACTAATAATTGGCAGAATTAACGATGTGCTGGCATGCGCGAGACAGTCAGAAAGCAAGGTAAGCATTATAGGTTGGTTAGGCTGCAATATTATTCTTAGCTGGAGAAAGAAATTATTCTGCAAGCCATCACAGTTAAATTTCATACAGTACCAATTCTGTTATAACCGCATATCTCGCATAAGTTTATAATCCCTTCAACTTGAGCTTATGATTTAAAAAAAAAAATTATATTTTCATGTTCACATATAAACGTGAACATCTTTTCACAAAACCAGATAAAAAGAAGTTTTACTCCGTAGCTGTCTTTTATCGTTACTAAATATTTGTAGTATACAGTATTTGTTTTAATTTCTGGACTGTATTTATTATCAACATTATCATCATCATCGTAAATATTATCATCGTCATAGGCAGATAGATAATATAACAGCATGAGAGGATTTAGGTGCAGTCAGCTCACAATGAATAATTGAAACGTAATGCACCAATACAATATTAATAGAAGAAGCTCTTATTAGATGTTAATATTACATGTTATTATAGGCCACTCTCCCAATGTCGTTGAATTCATTATTTAACAACTATGTGTGGAGATATTGGACAGGTAATGAGAAAGTAGGGTGCTATGGGGATTAGGTGTTTTTTAACACATTAACTGAAATATTAATATAAATAATTGACACATTTCAATGTTTAACAGGATTTTTTTTCTTCCACATTTTTATATATTAGTTATTTTACTTTAGGTGCAAGTCCAAGGACACGCCAGTAGTGAAGGTAATGCAGTTAGAAAGAGTGGGCTTACATCTGAAAGGGATGTTCCCTTATTCCATGGTCCTTTTGTGAAGCAGGTGTCAGGTGACCATGCTTTATTTTAAAGTTTTCCCCCCACCCTTTTTTTTTAGGAATGCGCTTACAGATAGCATGAATCAGACTTGCATAGTAATGTAATGTAGTTTGCTGGTTGAAAGCACTTGAGGAGTAGATTCGCTCGTACATTAACTTGCTGCTCATCTAAGGGTCTCTTTGTGTCTGAGCTACCCGGGGTAAAACAGGTACTATCTCTCGTCTGTCCACAATAGTCGGTTAAAGGTTTTAAAAAGTACTGAAGACGTATTCATTCCCAAAGTCATTTTAATTGTACATAATTGTTACTTTTCAGTGCTTTGATCATTTTTGGAAAAGCGCTTTATAAATGATTTTATCATAATAACTTCCACGAGAGACAAATTTAACAACTGACCAATCAGAACACGGCCAGGAATACGCACGTGTCCTTCAAACATTCGTGTTCCACCAACACACAAGTGTGCATGCTTTTAAATATGGAACTGGCAACAATTACAAGTATCCAAAGGGCATGGGATAGCGGAAAGGTCCATTTTATATGACAATGAAGACGGGTAAAATACTAGCCGTATTCGACGGGTCGTTCTTCGTTAAACCACGCCCACCTGCGCAGCGGTAAAATAATCCTACTCAACGAAGACGACCAGTCGAATAGAAAACTTGTGAATACTCGACAAAACAAATGGCTGTATGGTTACCGCGATACACGTTGCGTAATCAAGATTGCTTCAACTTGTGGTAGTATGGGTTTTTCGTTAAAAAAAACATTTTCATCCAGTTTTTGAATTCTGTTAGCCTACAATTATTTTTTGAATCCCATGTGGGTAAATATTATAATTTTTATTTTATGAAATTTAATCTAAGTTATATTAACGCAAATGTTGTTTATAAACTCACCAATCGGGAATGATTTTTTTTTTGGTCACGTGGATAACTTAACGCTGATTAACGCACTCTGGTTTACGTTAATTTTCGTTGTCAACGAAGTCTATTTAACGAACCTGTCGAATGAAAATAATACTCAACGAAAACTCGTACTCAACGAAATGAACCAATCGAATAAGCCAGCTTTATACACAGGAAAATAGCGGTGGACGTTAAAAGTGCGATAGATATGTCTTTCCTAAGCGTGTATCTTAATTGGTATCACGTGTGTGCACTGAAATGAGCTATAGCCCCGCTTCTTGGATATTGTGGATGAGATCGCACAAAACGACAGTGTAAACGTACATCATATGTTTGTGTACGACAGGATGTGTGTAATAGTCATAGATAACTCTTTGGTATAGTAGACATGTGCATATTCATGGCGCTGTTCTGATTGGTCCGTTTTTAGTGTGACACTCTATTAGGTATTAGGCCTATTATTATTTTTTTTATGTCTATTAATATTTAAGGATATTAAAATACTGTATAGGCCTAATATAAAGTATGATTATTATTATTATTATACAGTATGTGCTTACATGAAACAAGTGATTCTTTTAGCTTCATAAAAACACAAAACAGAGCATAAATATAAATATACTGCATAGCTAGAATATTTAAAGAAATAATAAGTAAAATGTTACAAACAAGGCAAATATATGGGACACAATTACTAATACGTTTTCGCTTCTCTTTATTACAAAAACTCGAATACCAAATCAAACATATTGAAAATGGTTATAAAATCCATCAATCCTCAAATCATACATCCGTGCTCCAACAAAGAACAAAACATTTTCGTACCATCAAATTTATGCCAAGCAATTTACTTTTTACATCCTGGCCACTTGAATCTCCTTCTAAAATAAGTATTTATTTCCTTGCCCAAGATATTAAAATAGACAGAAGATCTCTTCAGCACTCAGAAGAGCTAAATGGCAAATCAATTCTCATAAACCATTGTAAGCAAACTGCACGAGGAATCAAATTCCTGTTAGGTAATTAAGTTTCCTATTAAAAAAAAAAAAAAACCCTTCACAATTATGCAGCCTGTAGCTCCAGGCAGTCATAAAATGATAATACTGTATTGCATATGAAAAAATATTATTAAGAAAAAAAAAATCAATTATTGTATGATAGATAACATAAGTGTAAGTAGAAATTTGCTCAATGTTCAGGAGGGTCAAAGTTCGAATTCAGTAATGCCCATTAGAGGAAAAAATTCATTCTGGATTCAGTATATTTTTGAATTGTTCCTTTTGGTTAATTCGTGATGAAATATGTAATAATGCCCATTTGTAAGTGTACATGGGCAAGGCACTATGTCTATGTTAGATGCAGCTTTAACCCGTGCAAACGAAAATCATAACTATGCAACAAAATCTTTTTAAAAACTGTGCTAAAGAAGTCTTTTTCAGTTTCAATAGCCTAGTCTATATTGAAACTGAAATAACTACATTCTTTACATATGTTGTAATCATTAATAGCTGCAAATTGCACATTTGTTTAAAATTACATAATTTATGTCAATTTGACAAACTGTGCAGATTCCATAAAACACTACATTCTAGCTACAGTGATATTACTACAATCGTTACACTGCGTAGCTTTCCCCAACACAAATGGAAAGGCACTCTGATATGACTGACCTATCAGCATTGCCAAAAGCTGTTGGACATAGTAAGTAACAATTTTATAGAAACATCCACACTATACATCATACCTCCATCCCGAAAAACAAATGGATCCTATTCTCGGTACAACGCGGAAGTTGTCTAATGGTATGTTGAAACTATTTTGTCTTTGAACATTCTCAGCTAAGACGATTTTACTTGGGAGCGTAGGCTAGTGAGGGGGATGTGGGACACAACCCCCACCCCCATGATAGCAAATTAGTTCCATTAAGTGAATTAAAATACTAAATATAAAAATTAAGTTTTCATTAGATTCAGTTCTGCATTCTCAATTTTTTAGCCCCCCCAACCCCCAAAGATCAAAACCAGCCTATACCCCTACTTGGGAGTGGATAATAGTGGACATCGACACTAAGCATGTAATAAAAAGAAGAAAGCAAACAAATTATTGATATAATAGGAAATATATAACAATTATATAACTTTGGGTGCAAGAGAAAGTTGAACCAGCGAAATACTGTACATGAAGACATTTTAAAAAGGGCCAAAAACTTTGACATTTTCAATATGTTGTTAATCACCTCCTGATTGCTGTCACTGACCTGAACGAAAATGATGAGTGGATACACTGAACGATACAACACAAGCAACTCAAATTTGTTAATAAAACATGTTTAAGAATTCATAAAACGGATGAGATCGTCATCAATAAAATATATGATTTAAAACTTAAATATTTGAGTTTAATATGTGCCTTATTACCATAAAACTTTGAATTGAAGCCCTGGGTTTTTTTTTTTTTGCGAACTTCTGATGGGCTTTTTTCGAAATGGGCTTCTTTTCGAGGCTACTTTTGGAAAGTAAGGAGGGGGGGAGGGAGGGCCGTCTTTTTAAAATGAATGCTGTAAAATTTGTGAATTTGTACTATAAAACAATAAACAAGGCCACTGTAACAACAATATGTATCATGTAGTGTATTTAACTGGCATTAAACACCTAAACTACTTTAAAAACAAAGCTTGTATTTAATTTATTTGTTTTCCGAAATTCATGTACAGTGTATGTACTGTACTAACTCGAAAAGAAGCCTATGCTTCCTTTCCGAGTCTAATTTTGCAAGCTAAAGAGGGGGGCTTCAATTTCAGATGGGCTTCATCTCGAGATTAAGCCCACTGGGCTTCAATTCAAGGTTTTACGGTATACGATTTGTAAAAATAAACCATATTTTTTAAAACTTAGAAAGTCTGGAGTCTCTTGAAATTAGCAATATAAATAGAATATTTGAGTTTTTTTTATTTATCCCCTCCACAATTTTGAAAACATAATTTTGTATATTACCATAGCAGTTTTGTCCCTTTAGTTACTCAAGAATTGAATTTTGTCTGACGTAAATACTTAAAACAATCAACATAAAATGCTAAAATAAGTGAAGATTTAATATTAATAAAGATATTTTATGGAATTTTAAGATAAATATATCTCCTAAAAAAGTTGCTACCAAAACATGTATTTTTAGCTCTGATGAGGAGTACCTGCTGATTGTTTAATAGATCTATTTTGTAGGGGTGGCCGTCAGGGCCAATAAACGCCAATGACTCTATTATACTGCCCTCATTGGAGCTTTTGAGAACTGTTCATTAAGCACCCAGTCTAATTAGCATCCTATAGTAAATGAATTGTATTTACATCCTCATTTTGGTTAATAATTAAGGGTTTTAAAATGCTCTAACGCTCAGTTCAGATTATCAAATTTTCTTTGACAAAAAACTGTTGTATGCCCATATATAGTCATGATGTGCCTGTATATGGTCATGATGTGATGACCATATTTAGGCATATCACATGGTTTTGTCAAATAAAATTTAACAGTCTGGGACAAGGCTTTACAAATTCCTACCATTAGATATTTTCTAAACTTAAAAAAGGAACTAATTTGAGAGTTGACGGTTATAACATTTAAGGCAACTATTGAAAATTCAGTTGGATAATAGGGTTATAAAAAACACATATTTTAACACACTATAATACAGTATATAATATAAATATACAATATTTAATACTACAGTTCTTCTAAAACAACAATATTTGTTACAATTACATTATTGATTTCATTATTATTGTTTGTCATGTTGGTCAGTAAAAAGCAAACAAAACAAAAACAAATTGGGACTGACTCTGGCAAAAACCAGCCATTTGTAGGAAAAATTCAAAATTAAGTTTTAGGTGTTTTTAGATTGTGCATGAATTTGATGGAAATTGGTTGAGCATTAGGGAAGTTATAAATATATAATTCATTGGATATCTATCAGCCATGTAGGTTTTGAGGAAATGGCTTTCAGATTCCAAAATCAACAGTTTGTTATTAAGATTTGTATTTCAACAATAATTTTAACATATTTTTCAGTTAGATTTAGTGATTGGTATTTTGCAGAAATGTTTTTCAAAATATCTTCTTTTATAAAATGCAAAAACCTGAAAATGTTCAAAATTCTGATTCTCAAACGTTTTGGAAGCTTGCGGGAAATTATCAATTGCAACAAACTTCCAGTTTTGCCAGAGCCAGTCACAATTAATAATAAAAACATGCCATGCTAGTGCGTCTGTTGAGCAATCTTCTTTTCCGCAAGCACAAAGTGGTTCTTAGCTAAAGAGTGGACACCTCCAAGATGATGTGGGAGGGGTAATGAGGCTAGGCCGGCAGGTCCTAGTTGCTTGATGCCTTCAAGCACATTCGAGCCTTCAAATCTCACCTTGCAGTGGAAGGGTTCGTTGTGAGCAGCCATCGCTGGGGCAAATTCTGACCCACGAAAATTGGTATCCAACTGAAATAAAAATCACAAAAGTAATTATGAAGTTGTTGTGTTTCTGTTTTTGGAGCCTTTTTTTTGACCACTTCTTTAGAGCATTTTCACACTAAATTTTCATACTAAGTTTTTTGACACACATGTAAATTGTTTGTTTTTGTTTTGTTCAATTTTTTTTTTGTAATCTAACGTCAATATATCCTGTATGAAGTAGTTAATGTGCACTTTTAAGTATTAATATCATTGTCAGAACGCCACTGAACATTGCATTCTGCCGTGGAAATTGGCGCTATACAAGTCCTTGTTGATTAATTGAACTGTAAACAGATCAAATTTTGTGGTGGATGTAAATTGTACTGTTAAGTTAAAAGTTCAAATCTTTTAGAACCGTAAATCTAATACCAAGAAATGCTTGAGAGGCGGTGTCTAACATTAAAACCACAAATCCAAATTGTATTTTCTTTGTCTGTAGGAAGCAGAACATTGACACTTCATCAGACACAAGTACCCCGCATCTTCAAATATTTAAAAGTGCCGTAACTTCGGAACGCTTGGGAATTTTTCAATGAAACTTTGGGATTTTTCATAATACCCCTCAAAGTATATTTGGTTAAAATCTCAGAAAAATCCAAGATGATCACCGTGGAGCCCCTGGTTGAGTTGGCATGGATTGACTCAGGCCAACTTAGACAGCATCGTACGACACACCCTGATGCGATTCATCATCAGGGACACTCTTAAGCCGTCGTGAGAAATAATAAGCATGCCCCCAATGCAGACAATCGCGTTTGGCCTTTATAAGCAAACCTGATGAAACTATTCTAATATATAAATACATTGTTTCTTACGGTGTATTTAAGGGTCTGTAAGACTGGTTGAGCATATGACCCAAATGTGCTCGTGTTGATTCTATCACAACGTTTTTTCTGCTTGATGTTCTCGCGGGATATTCTGCCATCTAACAGTTCTTCACTTGTATCTGCAACTTGATAACCAAATGCAAAAAATATATTAACATTTGTAGCATAGTCCCATTGTTAATATTTTACTACCCAAATTATGTTTATGTGTATCATCATCATCATTATCACTACTACTCTGCCTTCATCCTCCTCATTGTCATGTTCTTTGTAATCGTCATGTAGGTTGTCTGTCGTTGTTATCATCATCGTCGTCATTGTTCATTTCAAACCCGAATCCCTTGCAATTTTTTTTTTCCAAATATTTAAGAACGTACTGAGTATTTAGTAGGATAACATGTCAGGTAGGGCAAAACATTACTCCTGTTATATGGTATTTTACTAATGCAAACATCAAAATAATAAAATAGAATAAAAAATTAACCTACTTGTTCTTTTTCTGCTCTTTCTTGGTACAAGAGGGTTTTCATCTACTTTGTTGTGACGATATTGACTGAAATCTCCCTGGCTGCTGCGGTTAAGAACCATGTCTGCTAAAGAATCCAGACTCTGCCCGCTTAGCTGTAATTCGCGAATCTCTGTGCATTCAAGACTGTTCATGAGAGCCTAGTTTGAGGACAAGTAAAGTAATACATTGTTATCCCGTGATGGAAAGTAAACATGTAGTCTTTCTAATATTATGATTTAAAAACGTACAGTACCGTAAATCCTTGAATAAGCGCCACAGCGCGTATACAATTTTCGGAGGCTTCTGTGGGGCACTTATTTAAGAGCGGCGCTTACTATGCCCGATCCCATGTTACCTATCTATTATGTATTATATATTATATTGGGTAATATTACTTATACTGCTTTCTGTAGTCGATTATGCTTCTGGTTATATAATTGGTGCGGCGCTTATTGGAATATTTACGGTACTGCTGCCAAAATAAATTCTCGCCCCCACCCACTGGATATTGTTACTAAGTTTCCACAAAACAAAAGCATAAATGTAAGTTAACATTTACATTGTGGGACAAGCACAAATTTCTGGCTTTGTTGCAATGATTCAGTTGTCAACCAATATATTATGCAATGCTTGTCAATCAATCATGAATAGCCCCCACCTACATCACAGTATAGTGCCACCTACCTGCACATTGTGATGTAGGTGGGGGCTACTGTATCTGTCACCCTGTCAATCTTAAACATCCCCATCTACATCACAGTAAGGCCCCAGCACCTGTGATGTACAGTAGGTGGGGGATAACTGTCACCCTGTCAATCTTGAACCCCATCTACATTATAGTACGACTCCACCTACCTGCATAACAAAGTCTTTGTATGCAGCCTTGATGCTGGTTACCATGACGTAGTGAGAATGCGGATAATGTACAATCAACACACTGTTGCTAGGCATGAAACATGCCCGTGGATGTTGACTGTCCTGGATAGCGACATGGAACCACAGCGCATTACCATGTTTCCGGAAACTTAAGAACTGTAAGAAGAAAAAAAGGCGTAAGTATAAATCAATAATTGTATAGGTAATGTTAAAATAGCCACTGAGAGAAAATGGTAATGCTGGTAGACTTGTAGAGCATAAAATATTAGGTCTCTATGCCCTTTAAAAAAATGTCTATTGTAGAAATAGTGTGAAACCCACAAAGGACAAACCACGAAAAGCCCAGACATACTTCCAGTGGAATCCTTCTGTTGGAGTACTTACGTAGTATACAGTACTGTGAGATGGTCCCCAGCTTGTTTCCAAAAGTTTACTACAGTGCACTCTCCCAATACCGAATCCCCTCCAAACTGCGTATGATATTCGGTTACGGAAAGTTTGGTTTGTGGGACATTTCTTTTGAACCCTTTCCGAACAAGGCTGTTGTAACTTGTAGGCCAGTTAGGGCCTATACGCTGAAATAGGCTTAGCAAAGCCCTGTGAGTTCAGTACGACTAGCCTAAGGAAAGTTAACATATTATTTAACATATAATACATACAGTACCTGTTGTTTTGCCGCCGTAGAAACTTGCTTTACATCAGTCTTCATTTCAGGTTGATTCCAATCGATTTTTAAGGATTAGGCCTAAGGCCATAATGCACTATTAAAACAGTGGAAGGCGTAACTTTCACTTTATCTAACATTAATCAAGATAATCTCTATGGCAACACTATTGGGACTGAGCTAACTGTGCAAACGGTTCATTAATAGGATGTTGTGCTAGGCCTAGTTGTTAATACCTAGACAGCGATGATTATTGCGTTATTTACTTCAAGTGCACATGAACCATATTAACACAGGACCAATGATCTAATCTGGGCACTGACTGTGCCTGGAGGTCGTTTCTACGAATAATGCAATGCCATGATGCACAATAGAGTGTTTTAATGACGATCTGTTAAGACTGCCGCTGACAATCAGAAGGACGTTGTCGCACCGTGTAGCGCTCACAGGCAGCGAATTGGATTCCTTGTATGATGGTCTTTCGCTAGGTGCTCGGCTTTTAAGGTCTCTTTCAAACGAAGATGTGTGCTATAAACTACAGCTGGGTCATTCCCCCTCGAATCAACCAATGGCCCACGCACTTTTGTCTCAGATTCACTTCAAATTTTTAGCAAAAATTCCCCAATCATTCATACGAACAAATCTAAAGTTTGAACTAGGTCCAAGTTGTTCCGAGATATGGGCACTTTAGTGAGGGTAGTTAGTGCGCAAAATTTAACCAAAAATATGCGGCTTTCAGTTTTGAACCATTTTCAGGTGTCAATATCTCAGGAAGTAATGTACTTGCAAGCCTGAATTTTTTTGTTCTTACTATCAGGTTATAGAGCTCTGATATATAACAAGAAATCAAGAATAAGCTGTGTTCCTAAAATGTGAGACACCCTTCAAATATCAACAAAGTGTGATTCACCTTTATGAGCTGAAAACAAAGGTCTGTAAATCTTCACAGTTTAGCGCACACACATTGGATACCATTAGTTTAGCAGACTGAGGTAAGTCGCTCGTGTGTGTGTGTGTGTGTATATTAGAAATTAAGGTTCAGAATAAAACTTACATGCTTAAAAAATAACGAAAGCTGTCTTTTAAGTCTCTGATGTATTTCATCTGGGTTAGCAACATCTTGATCAGGTGATGCCTCTGAAAGTTCAAATACATACATTTTTACAAAACAAACATAAAAAGTAGAGAAAATTGCAAATGGCTACAAATATAGTAATACAGCACAGTATACTGTACTAAAAAATTAAATTAATTTGAATATAAAACTGGCAATTAAACAGAGTGAAGCTTGGTGGCTTTAAGCCATATGCTGCAGAAGAATTTTGTTTTTATATGTTGCACAACTGATTTCAAAACTACCTAGAAACAGGGGTGGTTTACATTCACTTTTACCTCCTTACAAATCCAGAGTCCTGGGTTAATTAATGGTAAATCAACAAGCTTTTTTCTTTTGAGAAAAAATAACTCCACTTCCTAAGCCTCATAATGAGATTTAATTTATGTAGAACATTTTTAGAAATGTAAATTTTTAAAAACCACAATGGAACAAAAATCACACAATTTCAACATTAAAATGTTCAGGCAAAAAAGATTATCTAACTTCACCCAACAACAATTTTAACCACTGATTGAATTGAGTACAACAATCATAAACAAGCAAAAAAAAACCCCAGTTTGAATGAATTTTCATTTTCATTTATTTCAAAAACCACATCCAACAGAAATTAATTGCTAATAGCAGGATGTCTTAAAAATATCAATCAATCAATCAATTTATTCAGATAATTCCCCCAGGATGGGGAAGGTAAAAATATACAGTAAAAACAATAAAAATTTACAAAATAAATCAAAAGACAAATCCATCCAAATTATTATTATTATATTAAATTAAGTAGATATAAATAGAAAAACACACAAAAAACTAAACGGGGTCACAAAAAAAAAAAACTCATCCCCAGCCCAAACCCAAGCAGATCAATCATGTAAACGCATGCTAATGAAATAAACTGGTTGTAAATTAACTTAAATTTTGATGGAATAAATCGATAGTAGGATCTTTATGTAACAATAAATTATAAGTAAAAGCTAAATGATGAATTTTTGTGCAATCAGGGAAGAGTGAAATTAATATTAATTTTACTGTTCCCTGGTGCAATTAACTCTGTTTACAGAACTATGTACGCGATAACCTGCCTGTTGGTGCTTGTACGCGACGATACAGATACAGAATAAATAGTAGAGCAATAATTTAATCTATTAATTTTAAGAGAAAATAAAGAACATGGCCTAAAGAGCGAGGAGAGAGTGTGGAACCGAATTAATATCATTATAATAACTAGGAATAATGAAATACATGAACGTAGATTGAACTCTATCAATACGATGGGACGACTGTGTTACTGAGATAGAATTATAAATTAGGCTGCAACAGTCAAAAATAGGTCTAACCAACGAAACTAAAGATGGAATTTAGTTTTATGGCCCAATGTTTTACACTGACGCCAGAAAATACCCAGCGTTTTGTTTCCTTTACAGAATCTAGATGAATTTTCTCGACTATCATCAATAATCCAGTGGCAGAGCCATTTGATAAGGTACGAAGTAGCCCAGCGGGAGACCAAAATCCATGGATAGACCAATCAGACTCCTGCTTGGTCATGTGATGGTCACTGTTGCATGCTTATTTTATTCATTCTATTTATCTGACCACTGAACGCAATTAGTGATTTTGGTCCAATTAACTTAGCAACTACATCAGCTACTTCTTCTTGCTATAAATCCCATATGAGCCTACTTTAGCTACAGTAATGTAGGATCAACATGTCAATCAAGGAATCAATCAAGACACCCAAATCTTGTTGCACATCCACCCGAGTCTATCGGCCGAGCGGTAAGGCAGGGGCGTCGCTACCTACAGCCTTAACATCGGCGCTGGTTCCAGCCGCTCCTTGCCCATGGTTTGTTTAGTAGAACCAAGTTTCCTCAGATAAGGACTTAAAATGGAGGTCCAGTCTATACCTCTGGCTCGTGTGCACTTTAAAGAACCTCTTGCATCTTTTTGAAGAATAGGGGTTAATCCCGATGTAATGGTCCAGTTCAGCCCCTGTCGTTGTGGAATGGTGTGAACATGTAATCTACCATGAAACGCCTCTTTACGGCTGCTAGGTAGTCATGGACCACGCCCATACGCAATTATTCAACACAATGACGCTGCCAGTTATGGGTTATTCTCCTACATTTACCTTTCTTTTACCCTGTTGATCTCCTCCACATGTTCTTTTACAGTATGTTGGTGTGAGTCAACTGCAATCTATTCTTAGCCAATACACATCCTGTTTGATTATTGATTTGTTGTTTTTTTCTAATTGATTTTGAATCATGTGAGTACATGTACAAAATGAACTGAAAAATCAAACAATTGTTTTGAAATACCATGCTTTTGTTGCTATTATAGATTATTTTTATTGACCAGATTTGTAGAAAACCTCATGTTGTGTCATACATACTCAAATTGCTGGTGGTCCAAATTGTCACATTTTGGGAGTTCAACAATGAAAACATCCTAAATTATACTTTCACTGGGCGGTGGATGAAAACAAAGTAAGTGGAATGCCTTGAACTAAAATAATAAATGGTATTGTATACATTGCTTGGTAACTAAAATTGGCATTGCCAATGTTGGCTCATTCCATTACAGTAGTACATTAGTCAATTATTATTCAAAGGTCGTATGCCTTAAGTATTATTGGATTTCATCAGATATGTATTAAAACTGTTCTGTAGCTACAAATGGATGTCTGATTGAGCCTAGCCACAATCTATAAATAGTTTGAAGGCTAGGTAAACTACTTTATACTGCTGCACAAAAAAAAAAAAAAACCTTACCAAATTTATTCGATTATTAATCATTATTATTGTTAGAAACTGAAAGGTCCACTGATTACTGTAATCTCAGATAAGTAAGTATAATACATATAATACAGGATTGCTGATGATGACATAATTAATGTCGAAACATTGAATCCCAACACGATGACATGCATTTCAATACTTGGAGTATGTATTATACTTTCTTATTATTGTTAGATTATTTGAAATATACAATGGTTATAATAAAAATTCTATTTCATTTTCAAGGTGTCCCCTCAATATTGCGTAGTGGTAAATTCAAGGGGCCCAGCCAGCCCGGGCCTCCTAAATTTCTCGAGATTATTAAATGGATATAAAAAAAGAATATTACTATCCAATTTTATCTCTGAGCTGAGGGTGCCCCTTCTGGCCATCTAGAGGCACCATAATCATAAGTTATCTTACCTGGCTGGTGTAGACCCTCCATTTGTGAAAATCCCTTTATGGACCCTCTACATTGAATCTCTGGATCCACCACCGTGCTGTTCTAATGTTATTTTGTGTATTACAGTAGCTACCATTTCTACTGACATTTATTTATTTGATGTTTTCCCCAGTACAGACATGGCTGAAAGCTTATGAAAATTACTAGAATGCCCTCTATGTTTTTAAGAATATCCAAGCTGCAGATTTAATGCTTGACAAAATTTCCTGAGGACCTGCTGGCCTACGGATACGATGAATAACTATTGTAATTTGTACTGTGTTAGAAAGAACTTGATTGTAATGCTATTTTGATAGACTTTCGTCAAAGAAATAAACATTTCAGCATTCGAGAGTGAATACAGTCATTGACGTCCTTTTTGGTCGGTGCATGCAGACAGGTAAAATCGTGCGATGATTTCATAACCAGGCTAGGCTACGACCTAGTAGCAGTAGGAGGAGGTCTGGGCGGCCTCCTGCCTAGCCGTAGGCCTACATCTAAATTTGTTTCTTGAGTCTTTGAAATAGGTCTAGAATATTCCTATTAAACGTTGAGTTTGCTGTATTTATGATTCAATGAATTCTTTAATTGTTGATACTTAATATTGAATTTGAAGTAACTTTCTTCGGGTTCTAATTAAGCTTGTTTTACGAAAGTCTTGGCGGTGGTGACGAAAAAATGAGGAATTTTTTTTTGCCCACGAACCTAAAAAAAATCAAGCCAAGCGTCCACTAATTGAAAAATTTGTGGACGGTGAGGAATAGGCAAATAACATTGGGACTTGCAGAGATGACGTCACAATTGACTTGTAATAATAATGGCCTTTAAATTAAGTGGTATTTTGTACTTATTTTATACGCATGACTGCACCTTAAATTAACTGTAAACGCCCGATTTGATAAAATAACAGTAGAAATACATGTCCAGATGGTTATACATTAATTGCTAACTAATGTCATCGTTAATCATTTTAAGCAAAAATATTTTTTAATGTGGAAATAAAAAAAATAGAGGAAGTACAATATTATAAATAATAATCTCACAAGTTAAATTAAACGAATATGTTCGTGTTCTTGGTTTGTGTGTTTTACTTGTTTGTAAACAACAAATTACACTCAATATCGATTGTATTAGTAGAACCATTATAGAACCCAGTTTGATTTTCTAAATTTGTAAATTCGGGCACTGTTGTCCAATACGGTAACTTGTCCAACTGTATGGGTTGGCATGGAATTTGAAAGTAAATATTAACTATTTTGAATGATACTTTTAAATTCAATCACCTTCTTAAATATTTAGCATAAGCACTTTTGAACTGTATGTCTTAATTACGTACTTTTGCTTCTAAAAATAAGTTTATTTTTTATAAACGGTCTTTCCCAAGAATATGGGTACAATCAAGCAAACACGACACGTCCATTCGAGAAGAGGGAAGAATGTTCAACATTCCTGATATTGTTTAGAAAAAAAAAACCCACAGTAATTTTATCGCATTAAAAAGTGTGACTGCATTTGACATTTACTTCTTATTTGTTGACCGTCTAGAACTATTCACTATGTAGGTTTATGGTGTCCTTGTGCATTTACTGTATTTTATCTATCCAATAATGGACCATTACAGCACGGTCTCGCTCTAGCAATCTGCAACTTTAGCAGCGAAGGCAAATGCGAAAAAAATACCAAAAGTTTTCCATTTGGTTTGAATACATAAAAGATAGCATTTTCTGTAATATATCTAATCTACAACACATATTCCCCAGCCAGCCTATGTGGTTCGTCTTCATCTAGCTATAGCTATTACAGAGAGGCCTAGCTAAGCGGCCTCTCTGACTGGACCACCCAACCTTGCAAGTACCATGAAATGGCTGTACCTATCGCTATTAACTAGACTCAACTCAGACGCAATATCACCTGTAAAGCTTACCATTCTAGGCTGTGATTGTTTGATATACACAATATGGTTATATTGAGGCGATTTGCAATCTGACCAATGACGAACATGCTTTCTTAAGAAACCCATGCCAATGGTAAGAGATATGATATAAAAAAAATACAATTTCACAGATTTCCCGACAATATTTTCACAAAAAACACTTCATAACTTTAAATTTCCCAAGCCTTCTCTTCTATATTATTGCAAGATCAGCCTAATCGCGACACAAACGAAGGCCCTGATAGAAAAAGAAATGACTTCAAAATTCGCTGAGAGAGTGGTCTAAAAACCAACATGAAATTACCAGAAAAACAAAAAATTGATACTAGTTTTTAAAAGTAAATCTCTTCCACATGTTTCTCTGGTATGAGTCAACTGTAATCTAAAGTATTCTATAGCCAATACTGTATACCTGTTTAATTATTGATTTGTTTTATTCGAACCGATTTTGAATCACGTCCGTACATGCACACAAATGAACTGAAAAATCAAACAATTGTTTTGAAATACCATGCTTTTGTTGCTATTTAATATGGATTATTTTTATTGACCAGATTTGAATAAAACCTCATGTTGTGTCATACTCATATTGCTGGTGGTCAAATTTGTCACATTTTGGGAGTCTCGACAATGAAAACATCCTAAATTCTAAAGAATTTACTGGGCTGTGGATGAAAAAAAGTAAGTGAAATGCCTCCTTAAAATAATAATTTGTAGACATTGCTTGGTATTACTAAAATTGCAAATGTTGGATCATTCCATTAGAGTAGTACTTTAAAGTCAATAATTATTCAAATGTAGTTATGCCAACTATTATTGGATTTCATCAGATGTGTAATTAAAACTGTTCTGTTCTGTAGCTACAATGTCTAATTGAGCCTAGCCACAATCTATAAATAAGTTTGAAGGCTAGGTAAGCTATTGTACACTGTTGCACAGAAAAAAAAAAATTACCAAAATTATTAATCATTATTATTATTAGATTATTAGAAATATACAATGGAAATTAACATAAAAAAAACTCCCTGAAAATATGATGATACTTGTAGTTCCTGGTTTACTTACAATACTGTATGTGGTGCATAGGCTTCAAAAGAAAGGTCAAGAGTTCAAGTGTGACTACTTATTAGTACTGTATCTTTAATTCGTTATCTAGTGGGGCACTGCCCAGTAGTCAGATCCACACACTAATAATTTAACATCCGTAAATGCTCGAATAAAGCGCCATAGCTTTACATTTTGTTAGCGGCTTCAGTACAGTGCTTGTTCGAGAGCGGTGCTTATAAAAAATATTGGCGTGGTACTTTCCTATCTCACATATTCCTGTAGTTCAGTAGGCCTATCATAGGTCCTATGTCATCGTAAATAAAGATTCATAAAGAAATGCTTGTGTCTTCACTGTGTTTTTTAAAATTAATTTTAGCACTGCATTGTGAAACCCTGTTATTCACACTGTTTCAATCACTGGATAATATATAATCTCGATTAAGCACCGCGGTGCTTATTCCAGAACGGTGCTTAGCGAAAAAAATCAGGTTTGGTGCGGAGCTTATTTGAGCATTTACGATACTTTCCAGCATTGCAGTTTTGTGTATATTCCCTTATGAATTCAGCGATGAAGGAGCTTTGGGAGAAATTAGAATACTTTTGAAAGTGGTGCAATACAGTATATCAAATCAAAATTATTTTCCTTTTAAAACAGAAAATTAACATTTTTTTTAAGCAATATGAAAATCGACACAAATTCAATTGAGAATATGTAAAAAAGGATGGGGGATCATCCATAGAATTAATTGGTTTTCTGATTGATCTCTCAAATCATCATTAATATTAAAATCTATGAAATCTTTTATTTGGTTGATTGGCTGAAACCGTATCAGGATGAGAGTGCTCTCAATTGCAGGAGCAGAGTATTATAGAACATCAAAATGACACTCTTATTAAAGGCAAGACATTTTTTATACCTTGTTTTAAAGAACCTGCCGCCTGCCAAAAATAATGATTTTAAAGTAGAAATAATTTTTTTTATTTTTGGCCAATTGAAAAAATGGAAATTTCAGAAAAAAATAAAAGTGTTCCTTTATTTTTTATTACACCCGCCGCTGCCTTGAAATCTCCAAAAATAAGAATTGATTATTTCTATTCCTAATCATATAAATTTAAAGCATTTAACCACCCAATCTATTGTGCTTACATTCACCCATAAAATGTTATTTTTATTTTTTCCTCTCTTTGGATATTTTTGGCAAAACTATTTGCTAAATAGAAAGAAAACAAAATTTTATTTATTTTTTTCTTTTTCTGCCCTCCTCCAACGATCTTTAAAAACACAAGGTATAAAAAATATCTCCTACAGTTTATCAGTTGCTAGGCTTTGGATACTGCAGAACCTCACCTTTAATAATAATAATAATACAGGAACTTGTACCGCACCTTATGCCAAGGGATACATGGTGCAATAAAAGTAAATAAAGATAACCAATTGGTAATCAACAAAGACATCAGAAAAGACACCTTTGGACACTCATTTTAAGAAACCCACTCCCTAAAATTTTCAAGGTGTCTCCTCAATAGTATGTAGTGGTGGATTTAAGGGGGGGCCCAGCCAGCCTGGGCACACCTAAATTTCTCAAGATTATAAACATGGACAAAAAAAGAAAATTATATTTTTTTTGTCTGAGAGTGCCATTTCCGGCCATCTAGGGGCACCATAATCATAAGTTATCTTACCTGGCTGGTATAGACCCTCTATTTGTGAAAATCCCTCTATGGGCCCCTCTATTTCGAATCCCTGGATCCGCCACTGCGGTGTTCTACTGTATTAAATTTCCATGTATTAGTTACAATTTCTACTGACAATGTGAGGTCTTCTCACTACAAAATTGGTCTCATGTTTAGAAAATCCGAAATTGAGTTTACATAATATTTGGGTATAAATCACCTATAATCTTTAATTTGGTCTTTGAATGGCTTCTTTAGGATAAGTAGATCCAGAGATGTTAGCATTAAAAATTAAGGTATGAGAACCACGACGTTTTCAGAAAATCGACCTTAAAAACTATCCTGTGCAAATAATAGACTACAATTTCAAAATGCACAGACAGCACTGTTTTAGTAAGAAAATTCATTTAAAAGTATACAATCATAAAATATAAGTATTAAGTTATTCAAAAACAATTATCAAAATTTTTTTTTTTAAATTTTGACCTATTCTGGTGAATATCTCAATACGATTTCACCATTACATTGGCTCCTGGTACAACACCGCATTGTTTTTAAAATATCATTAATAGTTTTTAAATGTTTAAATGGTTTGGTTCCTGACTATGTTGCCGACATGATTCGGCCTTATATTCCTGGGCGTAACTTGCGCTCTTGTGACAAACTATTTTTACACCAGCCTAAGTCATATCACTCTTACGGGGATCGAGCTTTTAGTATTGCTGCTCCACGTCTTTGGCATGCTTTGCCTTGCTCGGTCAAACACATTAGATCTTTAAACTTGTTTAAAAAAAACGTTAAAATTGCATCTCTTCACCGAGGCGTATAGAGTACCTTGATGTTTCTCTGTTGAATTTATATCATTAAAAAAAAAAAGTTATACCACTTTTTCTCTGTCGACGCAATGTTGCTCCTTTTGCAGCGCACGGTAGTGGAGCCCTGGGCTTATCCTTGGGTGGAAGGTGCTGATGCTCAACATACTGCTTTGAGTATCTGCGCATACTTATATGGGGAGCAACACTGCCTCAATGGGATAATTTGGTATGCGGATTCTGCTTGAAATTTTTCTGGAATTAATTTGGATTTTCACCGAGGCGTATAGACTACCTTGATGTTTCTCTGTTGAATTTATATTTATACTCACAAAAAAAATATTTAAAAAAATGTAAAAAAACTAAACACATGATACCACTTTTCACTGTCGTTGCAATGCAGCTCCTGTTGCAGTGCACGGTAGTGGAGCCCCGGGCTTATCATGGGGTGGAAGGTGCTGATGCTCAACATACTGAATTTGGGTATCTGTGTATACTTATATGGGGAGCAACATTGCCTCGATAGGATAATTGGTATTTGGATTGAATTATTTGGATCTTGTTGGTTTAATTGTCTATGCGCCTTGAGCACCTTTGGTGGAGATGTGCACTTTATAAATCTTTATTATTATTAAATCTTTATTATTATTAAATCTTTATTATTATTAAATCTTTATTATTAATGATGCATCTTATTTCGTGGCGAGTCCTCACGTATATCTATTTGATTTTTTCTCCAGTACAAACATGGCTGAAAGCTTATCAAAATTACTAGAATGCCCTCTATGTTTTGAAGAATATCACCTTAATACCAAGCTGCCTAAGATGCTGCCATGCCAACACACACTATGTTTGTCATGCCTGATGCGAGTAACGAAGAAAGATCAAAGAATCAAATGTCCAGTGTGTCGAGCGTCTCATCGTGCTCCACCTAACGGGCTAGCCTCTATTGCAAACAACATCACCCTGATCGGTGTGCTGGAAAGCCAAACTACCAATGGTAAACGTGAAGCAAAGAATATGGAGAGTCTGAAGCAATACCTAGATGGTAAGCTAAAGACGCTTAAGAAACAAGGAAAAGCTGAGAACACAAATGACGAAGTTCACGAGAAGTTGAATGCCAACTGCAAGGCAACTAAAGAGGAGATTGACAGGAGTTTCCAAACACAGATGGAAATGCTGCTTAGACGACAGCGTAAGCTCCATCAGGAAGTGGATAAACACATGAAAGATGAAAAGGAAAGGATCCAGGAAAGTCATGCAGAGATCATAACAGAGTTAAATGACATTGTAGAGAATTGCCGACGCATCGAAAAGAAGCTGGCGTCTGCTGACGCCCTCACAGAAAATGAACTCTTGACGTACTCACAGAAATGCACTCGCTACGAGCTGAAGATTCAGAATGGAAAAGCAAAGTTAGACGAGGTGAAAAGTGTAGTGACTTTCATGGAAAGTCATGATGAGGATTTAAGAATATCAATCAATAACTTTGGAAAAGTTTGTACCATCGTGAAAGAGAACATGCCAAGGTATGTATCCCTTAACTGCTGTAAGAAGGAGCCGGTGATGATTGGGAAGAATATACTGGATGGCAACCTGTTGGAGGATGGTCCATTAGCAGTTGCGCTTTTGGCCAACAACAGTATTGCCGTCACTGATGGAGTCAACAGTTGCATACGGATTTTCAACAAGCAGGGAAAACTTGAATACTCCTTCGGGAAAGAAAATCTCCAATACCCAACTGGTCTTTGCTATAATTTGAATGAAGAGTTTGTTGTGACAGACAAGACGGGAAAGATACGGATTTTCAGTAAGGACGGGAAATTTCTTCGGGATCTTGCTACTACCGATTGTGCTATAGTCGGCATGCCTCGCATGATTGGAATCACCTGTGACGGATCATTTAAGTATTACGTTGCAAACGGGAAATCCCATCAGATAGATGTGTTTTATCCCAATGGAAAATACGTCTGCCATTTTTCAGCTCCGGAAGTGACCATGAATCCCCAAGGACTAACAACCTACAACGGGAACATTTATGTAACAGACAGTAACAATCATTGTATTCATATCTTTAGCTTGAATGGCCAATATGTTAACAAAATTGGAGAAAGGGGCAAGGGAAACGGTCAATTTGAGTTACCATGTGGAATAGTGTGTGACTCCAATGGGAAAATCATTGTGGCAGATGGTGGAAATTGTAGAGTGCAGGTTTTTGATCAGACTGGAGCGTGGATCACGTCTTACGGCACTAAAGGCAAAGGAAAGCTGCAGTTTGATTCACCTTCAGGGGTGGCATTGTCCACTCATGGTCGAGTTATTGTTGCTGATCGATTTAATGGAAGAATTCAGGTATTATAAAAACTGCTACAGGACCCTTTTCCTAATTTCAGTAATTGCTGACAAGTATGACATTTTCTATAACAATAAATTTAAATACAAAACAATAATAATTAATAATAAGTCTGTAACATTATCAAATGTGCTAATGTATTAAAACTTTACATGTACTCTATGTGTATTATGGTTGAAGATAATAAATACTCATGAGCTAAAACTTACCAGGTGATTTTGTGAGTTGATAAACTGTCCATTTCTTTGTTGGATTGGATATAGCAGCTACAAGTACAAACAAAACTATTATTATAATAAAACCATGCATCAGATATATCCTGTTTAGTTTAGAAAAATGGGTGCCTCTGTGAGAAATACAGTCTGATGTCACATATTTAATAATTTTTTATTTAAAAACATTATTACACGATTAAGAAAAAAAATGTGGGTCTTCGTTACTTAAGTCTTGGTCTTCGTTTTTAGACTCTCATTTTTGGTGTCTATAAAACGAAGAACCTTAAAAATTTCCAATACATCCAAATATTTTTGTACTGTAATTTATGAATTTGTGACAGCTAGGTGTAGTATCATTAAAAAAAAAAAAAAAACATAAAAATGTAGGTCTTCATTTTTCGGTCTTCAGTTGTCATTTTTGTCACATGCGGTATATAGGCTCAGTACATCTACTGTATAGCTAATTACTGGGTTCACAAGCAGATTGTGCAAATTTAAAAAAAAAACATTTTCTATAACTTTAACTTCAGATTGCTTTATAGACACTAAAAGTTCAAACCAGATTGCAAATTAAGACTTGTGTGGTGCGATATCCCCCTGCGCAAAAATTAGACCAAAAATTCTGTCTGCGCATTTAAAGAAAGGCTGGTTTCCAAACAATTTTTGCAGAAAATTATGCATTAGCCTACTGTACTGCGTCTCTATATACAATCTTATATATTAAGGAGTTATGTTCCTGCGCACATATATTCTTTGCGATTGTCTGCGTATACTTTGTGAGATATCCTCCTCACAAATAAAATACTTTGCAGAGTGGCAGTAAAGTAAAGTCTTCACAATCCAGCTTCCCTAGCACACTAAACTTTTCGTTATAAAATTCGTTCCCTATGAAAAATATTGAATTTACCGGTACTTACATATCAGCTGAAGCTCAAAAACTTTCTTTGGTTTGATTTTCTTTTTCTGTAACAAAATTAGGATTTATTATCCGATATAAAGTTAACAATGTTATCATTACTTTTAAAAACAAACTGTCATTTCATTTATTTAGCCATGGGTGATTAAATTTTTGTTTGAACAATGTTTTATGACAATGAATAAAATTAAACTTCAAAATTAAAATATTCTACCTGTTTTTACATACATTTATTGTATTCACGACTGGACGACCGTACTGTACGTTCAATTTACTACACACATGTTTGGAGATCGTCTTAATAAACCGATTAGGTGATGGGCTTCATGTGACCTAACTTGGGTGTTGGATATGATGTAAACAATAGACTGGCACAGCGGTGTTTACATGGAGATTGCTATTATTGCGGCCATCCTTTGTTATTGCTGTAAAGATCATCAAAATTCATAGCTAACTATACCAAATTGATTGGAAATTGAACCGAATTTTGCCAAGGCTTTGCTAATGGTCTAAAAGATAGGCCTATTGTAATGGCCGCAAGCATTGAGATTTTCGACAATGTTAGGCCTAGGCCCCTGCACATCTACGGCCTGTTTAGGTATGCACAATTCTTCGACCACAGGGCTGTAAAAAGTTGGTGGTCCTGGGTCACGTGACCGGCTGTAAACAAACATCGCTGAATCGGTCTAGGCCTAATGGAAATTCCATGGTTTGATTAGTCGCAAGTTTTGACTTAAAGTGCATTCAATGAAACACACAATCCAGTTTGATTTTATTCACAATTTACTCATAATACAACATAAGAAAAACCATTAAATAACTTGCTTTCATTAAGAATCCTGCCGAGTCTAGCACCACTGGTACTCATTTAGCGTAGGCCTGGGTTAGCTAGGATAGGCCTAAGAGCTTTATGTCAGCAATTTTTCATCAGCGTGGGGTGGCTAGATGCCGCCGTTTACGTCGGCATTGCTGAATGCCCGCGTTAATTTTGAGGGCTGCATTGAAGAGTTGGTGATCCAATTATATTGCTATGTAAGGTAAGCAAAGGGGTGAAGGCGGAGGTCATGGGCTGAGTTCCAGACTAGTACTATGTAAAATAAGGCGTGCGGGGTATACTGTACTCTATCCTGTAAATCAGGCCTAGGCTAGAGGGGGTCTGGGCCTCTATATTACTAAGTGCCTAACTACTTACTGTAGTTACTAACCGTCTTTAACGTGTGGGATGGTTCAGCATTTCAAAGTGACTTTGGATGAAACACATTTTGCGGAAACATGCATGCTTGATAATAAATTTCCTCTAAAAATTGCACATTTTAGGGAGTTTTGATCAATTCCAACGAAATTAGAATTAAAAACACCGGGGGACAAGGGAAAATCTTACCCCACCCCTTGACAAATGCATCCTCTGAAAGTGCCTAAAATTCTCAAATTCTTTGCGCGCATTTCTTGTTACGGTAGGCCAATTTCCTCTATAAATTGCACATTTTTAGGGAGTTTTCATCAATTCCGACGAAATTAGAATTAAAAACACACTTTTTTAGGTTTATCCTTTTAAGTTAATTTAAACACATAATAGTCCCAAACTCAGGAAAGACAAATTTAAGATAGATCGTTTTAACCTAAAAGAAGGGCCTGAATGTGTATTGATGGTAAAACATTGTGTTTGTAATAAATAAAACCATGATGAAAATGCTTATATTTAGTTCCAAACACACGTGTGTGGCCTATATTATAAATAAGATAAGCCCTATGTCGTATTGTCTTCTATGGGGAGTGGGGGTGGGTATGGCAAATTACTAACTGGGAAAATAAATACCCACTCTGACCCAAGACCCCTGTTACGCGCCTGGTGTTAGCGCCAATGTGTGCCCTTGTGCGGACAGGGGATGTGCCCCCCTCTAAAGCTGGAAACCTTGTTTTTGCAAAATAAATTGATGCAATTTGCTATTATAGGCCTAATCAATAAATTCCTCATCAACCGATATAACCTTAAACATTCTTGGAATTGACATAACATTACTGATGTCGTACACACCCTTCAGTGTGAAATGTGGCTCTCTTTGCAAGCACATCTAACATCTAAGCGGGGAAGCGGGGGAAACTCGGGCCCCCTGGGCCCCACACTTTTTGGCCAAAAATATAATGTCTGGAGATTTTTGTATGATCGGAAATGCAAGAAAAGAAGGAGGGAAGAAGGAGGAGAAGGATGGGTAAGAGAATGTTTATCCAGTACCCGACCGAGTTACATTTTCTCGCAATTCATATTGGCGGATCTGGGGAGGGGGTAAATTGGTCCCCGGACCACCCTTTCTTTTTGGGATTTATCGATTCATGGAAAAAAGAATACGCATGCAACTACTCATTTGTTTATGTATGTATACACACATAAAATAATAAATGAGAAAAATTTACCTGACCTATTTCAAGAGGGGAAAACCTTGAATTTTGAAGAGCTTTAAAAGTCATTAAAAGACATTTCAGAAGTCAGGAAAGCTCATCTCCCGCCATCTAGAAATCAAAATTTTTCCGGGGGAACCCGGACCCCCTTTATCTTTGGAGTTCATTGATTAATTGAATCATTTTCAAGGGGGGGGACCTTGAATTTTGAAGAATTTAAAAGACAACACAGAAGTCGGGAAAGCTCATTTCCCGCCACCTAGGAATCAAAATTTTCCCGTGGAAGAACCACAGGACCTCCCCCCACCCTTTCTTTTTGGGATTTATCGATTCATGGAAAAACTATGTATGCAACTTACTCAATCTTTTTTTATGTATGTATACACATAAGGCCTAGGCCTATTTACATCTAAGAAAATAAGAGCTTAGATTGGAAACAGATAAAATCATTTTGTTATCAACATTATACATTATATGCTAATTTTCATCTTTGTAAGCGCATAAGACAGTGCAAATTATTTCTGTGACAGTCTTTCTAAAGTGTGTAAAGCTCCATTTTATCCCATAACATAAAACATAGTCAAAAATATTGGGGAGGGATATATCCCCCATAGCCCCAGATTTCAAATTTCCTCAGGTTGGTAACTAACTATGTAACTAGGCTAGGAGGAGCATAGCCTAGGCCTCTAACTAGGATAGCCTAGGGCCTAGCTGGGAAGGCCTACCTAGGCATAGGGCCTAATGCCCTAGGCCTACCTAGTTAGTACTGTAGCCTAGCCTATTAGGCCTAGGCCTAGCTTGGCATTACACTCACCAGACAAGCCCGCAGGATATCGTCAACAGTTGATTTCTTTGAGGTATCGAAATTAAATTTACTACAGTCAAGAAACCCCCAATCTTTGATTGATTTTGGAAGCTCCTCCTTTTTAAATCGGTTTAACACTTTTTGAAGACAAACTCTTGCTTCTTGATGGGTGATCATTATGATCACAAAAACAAAATCACACATCGGCGGTGGTAAACTAAATTTCGTGCCAAATTAATGTAAAAGTTCCAAAATTTAAATGAAAAGCGTGTTAAGAACACAAGAACATACTCTCAACCATTATCGCAAAACGTCTGGATTACTGCTGCCTAGCAACTATAATGACAACAAGCCCAAGAACTGGTAGGCTACGTAAGTACGTACTTTACTCCCATCAACGCCAACTGTTCGATCGATCGGCAGAACTTTGTATAAATAATTAAATAGAAAGTTCAACAACTACTACTAGGCCTGGGCTATTCTGGAGTAAACTAACATGTACCTCCACCACCACAGGCTCACACAAACAGCAATGTTTTTGGTTTGAGATGATTGAACAAAGCAAAAAGACAGTTAGAATTGGTAAGGAAATTAAAATGGTGGAAAACCTGAGTCAGTTTTGACAGTCATCAATGATGAAAATAGGTGGATTGGAAAAGGTGGTCCTTCCTTCGTCCTACCAAATTAAAACAGCATAGGCCTAGCTAGGCCAGAGGAACATCCTAGAGCCAAATAAGAAATTGTCTTCTCTGCTGGCATAGCCCAGGCCTACATTATAAATTGGCCTACCTAGGCCTAGGCCTTATTTCCAAAAAGAATACATCATTAGAAATGTTTAGCCACCACTGGCACTAGTTTAGAAATTCTATTCATAAATGGTTGATGTTTCTGCACAGTTTTGAAACTGGAGGTAAAGAAAATCCATTTAAAATTAAGACATTATTTTTTACATTATTTTGCAGGGGCTTCATCCCCTAGGGCCCTGTGACTTCTTTTTAAGCGACACCTGACCACACCAGCTCTGGTTGTTACTGCCTCAAAAAAGTATTGTTAGAAAAGACTTTTGATCACTTAGAAGGCTAAAATATCAAATAATTTGCCACACAATATTGAAAAATTTAAAATAATTAAAACAATAACAATGGTATAATGATTTCCAATCCTAAAATTAATTGATCGGCGAGCACTACTTTGACAGGCTGGACAACCCTCTGAACACTAATAATAAGTATATAAAGCTGTGCATAATACACTAGTGGAAAATTATACGAAGGTTAGATTTAATGCCTGAAAAAATTTCCTGAGTGCCTGTTGTGACTAAATAAAGAACAAAACCTCAGGAATCACCTTTTCTTTAAATTTTGTTCATTCTTTTATGCTATACAGTAAATCTGTTAGACGATTATTATTATTGATAATTATTATATTCTTACTATTATTTTTAATTATTACAAGTGCATCTCTTGTATATTTTTAAATTACCAGGAACTGTAGATATTTTAGATGATCCATCAACATCTCAGCTATACCAGAAAATATTGCAACCAAGCTTAAGTGCAGTAAGCGTGCAGGCACATCCAAACAGACATGGTGTTCAGATCCACAACTCATTTGTACCCCAGCAAGTATCTTCCAGCTCGTACATCAATCATATTAAAAATCCAAAATTAAAATCAGAATTTCGAACGACACAAAGTAGGTCATTTCCAGATATTAAAAACTCAAGGAAAGGATTTAAGGCGGAGTGTTCTATATATCGTGTAAGTCTTGATGGTTTGGTTTATTAGGCAATGACTATAATATTGTTACACCAGTCTGAAATAAATTCTTAATTCTGATTGGATGATATTGTCTAAATCCAATCCATTGATACAAAAACATGCAATCAGAATTAGGATTTACCCAGCAAACACAAAACGTTTCTATAATGTTTGTGAACGTTGTGGTTAGGTATGTCACAAAATAACGTTCATGCAACGTTGTAAGAACGTTCAAACGTTGTGACATTGTGCAATTAGGTTTATAAGTACCTACATATGGTTCTGCAAAATAGCATTTTTATAACCAAACTGTATATTATTATAACGTTATTATAACATAGTATTGTTAGCTGGGTATACAGAGTTTAAGACTGGTGTAACAGAGCCACTGCTTAATATATTGATGTTGTTTTTAAATATCAGTATTTTTGTTTAATTTTTTATCAAATATCAATTATCATCAAACAGCAAGTAGGCCTACAGGTCCTCCTTTAATTAGAGATCCCTCGAAATAGACCACTTTTCTGTGATCCCAAATGAACAAACGGGTTATCTTTATTATTCTAATTATAGACCAAAGCTGCTAAAGACCATGAAAACCTCCTGTCCCAAAACTGGTCTTTAATTAGAGGAGACCTGTACAGGATAAAGTAATGCTATGTAAAAGTCTCACTATGTGATTAAAGAATTGGAGTTGTTTTATAAGACAGTAGTTAAGTTCAATTTCAAATACATTAAACATCAGGTCCACTGATTAATCTCAGATAAGAAAGTATAATACGTACTGCACATATTGAAATACACGATGGCATGTATTTCAAGACTCGAAATGGAAGCAGGCTGGTTGCCCTCTGGACATTTGCACTCCGGACATAGTGTAATTTCTATTGTTTGCAAATCTTTGCAAACTTATGTTAGCATTGTAACTAAGAATTGAATAATTTTTCACCCAATAATTCCAGACAGTAACTAGATAGTCTGTCGGTGCATGTTAGATTAGCTAGATCATAGAGCAAAGAACTAGATAGGACATAGTTAATTATTTTTAAATAGTATTGTCTTTGCATTCTAAATTAGCCTAGGTTATAAATATAGGATCAATAAGTGTATACACCAATTGAGAGGTCCCTCTGCAGGTGCATTGTATTTACCTGTTCATTCAACAATGGGCTTCACTCCACCTAGTTCTCAGAGCAGTGCATTCATTAAGATCAATAGCATCATAGTTGTTCTTCATTATAATGTGAAGGACTTTGACAGAGGGTCGGTAAACTGAGTCTTTACATGTGGGAGCGTTGCTATTTACCAAACTATAGTAGATCAATAGTTGGTACCGTTTTTGTTGAGTCATTATTGTTGTCATCATCTCTCTGGACTTAAGCTATTATTCCAACATGTTGTTTAAAACGTTTTCCAATATAAGAATACACTTTAATCAAATCTCCTGCATGCTGAGAACTACGGATAAAAACAAGCTCTCCTTTCTTAGGTGCATGGAATATATTATTGGTACAGTTAGTCACAGAATTGGTGTGGTTTTTATAGCATATAAGGCCTATTACTTGAGAATGTAATGGACTTAGCTATGTATCCGTATTATATACGTTCTGCATGTCAATCAACTACATATTACAACAGCAAGTCTTGAACGCCAGACTGGAATACATACTTCTTCAGTAAAGACTGAGCGTACGGTAGGCCTAGGCTAACAGTTTAGAAAGCTAAGAATGAATACTGTGTATAACCAGGCCCAGTTCCCACCGTTGGTACGGCCCAGTCCTGGGTTTCGTAAGCCGCGTTTATTGTCAGCAGCGAGTTGTGGATCATTTGAATCAACAGAGCAACATCATTTGCGTAAAATGGCAATTATGTTTAACGAAAGCATCCATACCAGAGCTAAGGTGATGCATACAATTTAATAGAGATAGTTGATAGTTAATAATTTCAGAAGTTCAGTTCTGGATTTTCTTTTATTTTTATGCCATTTATAGCAAGTAGTAATTGTAAAGAATATTAGGCCTATAATGTATTTTCATCTATCTGTTCTTCTTCCATTCTAGTACAGATCACCTGTCGGTGTATTTTGTTTTTTTCGTACAGGATAAGGCAGGGCTGTGAGATGAACCAGTACACCACCGGGGTACCCCTATCCTTCTCAAAAGATATACTGGGTTCTTTATAATGCACATGAGCCAATTATGTATACTGGGGTTTTATGATTTATTTCACCAAATTTTCCAAAGCATAGTTACTAACCGCCTCGCATCGTGGGGGACGGTCTTGCATTCCAAAATGAAACACGTGCATGATCATAAATTTGTCACGCATTTAGCACAAGTCTATGCATAAAAACGCATTATTACGAATTCAGGGGAAAATGTATTTAAAATTAGAAGAAACTGGTTTTACTATTAAAAATGTAAAAATGGTCACGCAGTAACTTGAGTCAGAGCTTTCATTATCTCATTTGAGAATTCACCGAGAAGATTTCTCTCTTTCGACCAAAATAACTCGGTTAAATTGCGCGTTCATTGTCACAACCAACCGTTGATTTTCATTCATATATTGATATTGAATTGATATGTGAATCAAATCCTACCCCCTGGGCCCCGGTGGGGGCTCTGGGGGCCCTTTCCCACCCCAGCCAACTGGTGTAGTCACACATTTCAAATCTCTTAGGTTGGTAACTATGCAAAGATCATTTAAAAAGTCAAGTTTGCTGTATAATAAGACTTAGAGTTTAAGATTTAATTGTATGCTATAGGGGACCCACTCCTCCCGGAAATCGGGAAGGCTGCCCGCATTCTCGCAAGCCAGAATCTGCCAGAAAAACAAACCATCTCCTACAAATTTATAATATGCTGCATGTTGTTACTACTTTGTTACAAATTGTCTCATATGGAAGTCATGTGCTGATGGGTATCACTTTGTGCAGCAGAATGAAATTTGATGTGTTAAGCAGTGGCGGCTCCAGCAGGGGAAGGGGGGCTTAAGTCAAGTCCCCCACCGGCCGAGCTCATCGGGCAGTCGGACCAAAACAAAATTTAAAAATAGGCCTACACCAAGCTCTTAACATGTCTTTCACAGGTGTAGAGTGCCATTTCTGGCCATCCAGAGGTCCCTATTAAAAAAAAAAAAACCCTCCCAAACCCTGGTATTAAGAAAGCTCATTAACTAGATCTCACAAAAGTGACTTTTTTCAACTTTGAACCCCTGATGCCCTCAACCGCAACAAAGACATACAGTAATATTGAATTTGTTTAGCATTGAAGTAATAATGAACATATTATGGATACTAAAAATGCAAGTTGATTCATTCATTCTTTATTATGCCTTTCGTAAAAGTCACAATACAATTAATAATGTCTAATTTAATTCTTAGTAAGCAATAGTATAGATAAACTACACTAACTATTTGTTTAAAATGAATAAAATATTTCATTTGTTTGATAATTATTTCTTTAATATTTGATTTGAGGTCAATTCTTATGCCCAGTCCTGATTATCAAAGTTCATTATTAGCAAGAAACTGTTGTATGGCCATACTGTGATGTCATCATGACCATATTTAGCATGTCACATATTTTGTCAAAATCAAATTTAATAGTCTGGACAGGACTTTAGGATTCAATGGAGACCATTTTCGCAAAATTTGAAATGAAAATATCCGATAACTACTACTGGGGGACTTCGTGTTACATATTTCAGATAAACAGAAACTTGATTTTACAATACTACAACTATTTTATCCGCCTGTTTGTGATTAAGAATATTATGCACTGTCTTTTATTCACCTATAAGTAAAGTGGTATGGTCAAAATGCTTCCACTGCGTAGCCTAAATTATAATATCGTTGAGTTTTACTGATAATGTTTCACATTTTTTAAAATTTATTTTAGTACCAGCACAGTGAAGCTAACTTTCTGCACTCGGCAACTCCTCAGTCATTCAGGTTACTCTTATAATTATTTTTACTAATTACTGTACTTTATTTAAAATTAAGATAATTGATTTTTGTATTTTGCATTCAAAATTTTTCTATATATCTGTCTCTAATTTTATTTTTATAGTTGCTTTACATACATCAATTAAATTAAATGATCACTTTAAAATGAAACAACTCCAAATTATTTAAAAAAAATGTATATAATAATTGGTTTAACATGTCTAAAGAACAAATGTTAGGTAAATTTTTATCTGATTATGATTCTGATCTGATTATCTGATATACAACATTGGAATTACATATGTGATGCTCGGATATTAAAAGAAAGCTAATTCTCATAATTGTAAATTGAATTACAACAAGAGAAAAGAAAATGAAAAAAGATACAATGTTCAAAAAATTTTATAGAGTGGTTCATTTCAGCTCTATTCTTAACATTGACAGAACGGAATCACCGACCACTGGGAACTAACTAAAAATATTTGGATGTTTTGTAATGTTTTATTTTCTGTTTTTATAGCTCTACAACAAAAGTTAAGCAGGTTCCCTTACCATCGGTTCAAGGGACCGTCCTGGAGAGGGTAATGTCCCAACGGAACGCTAGATCTGTCACACTTGCCGGAGAGCGCTACCTAGGCACAGCTAAGCTGAGGCCTCAACAACGGAGCTTGTCGGCTGGAAGACTGCCACGAAGCGAGCAGGAAAAACGCTATGTAAAGGAGCAAATGGCATTAGAAACGACACGTTCTATGAAACGTATGTCGGAGGTTAGTCATTCTGTTGCGATTCTTTCTAACAAATAGGTCATTAAATTGATGATACTACAAATAAAAAAAAAATAAATAAAACAATAAGTATTTATTATGATTATTAGATTTCTTTTACTTTTGTAAAAGAATGTAAAAGAACATGGTATTGGAAAAATATATCAATATAATAAATATACACTACTATATTGACGAGTATCCCTGTTTCAGATGCGTATGATCCAATAATTTTGAATTCGTTATTATTATTGTTACATATTTTAGAATTTCAAATTCAAGCAATGAATGTCACAGTGCTTAATACTTTTGGTTTTTTTTATCTGAAAAATACTTTATATATACTAATCACTACAATTCACAATAGAAAAAAATTGTTTAATTGATTGTAAACATGCTCTCGTCAGACAATGTCGCATCGCATTGACCGGATGTACTACATGCGAGGAGCTACGATAAAACCAGCACAACGTTACTATGTAGACAGTGAAGAGCTTGAACAGTTGAAACAGATGTCCAAAGCAAGATCAGTGGGTCGTAGGTCAGTCAACACACTATTATTAATATTTATTTAGTTTTTCTCCCTTGCACAACATTTTCTGCCAACATTTTGAAATTGAAATACATGTAGGGTTTATATCCTAGATACAGTATATATGTTTATTAAGTTGATGATAGTGTGAAATTTGTATATATTTTTTACATCCTCATGATGACCAGCAGTTAGATATCACCAGAGTTTAGTGATCAGGCAGTGGGGTAACGATGGGAACGGGGCCCTGTGTATTTCTGAAACTGGGTGGGGGGGGGCCCCTTTTTGGGTCCCGGTCACCAATTCCATCGTGGGATTTTAGATGTGCATTGTTTTTTAACGACGAATAAACGATATAATATGGATCCAGAAAATTGAGGCCAGGGAGGGACTTTCACAGTTAAAGAATCTACCACTTTAGACCCACCATTGTTGGGGCTGAGGTAAGAAAATTTATGAATATGGCACCTTTAGATGGCCGGAAATGGCACTTCACAGACATAAAATTGTGAATATAATTTTCTATTTAGTCTCCAGTTAAAAATATTTTGACAAATTTAGTGGGGCCCCAGGCCGGCAGCTCCCCAACCACCCACTCTTTATTCTGCTACTGGATATAATATGATATGTCCTACCGTCGATCAATTTCAGACACACATTATGCTCTTGCCCTTGTGGGGCTGAGATAAGAAAATGTATTACTATGGCACGTCTAGATGGCCAGAAATGTTCTGGGCCGAGAGGGGGCCCCCATTGGGCCGACAAGACCCCCTCTCTTTAATCGTTATAATATGATATATGTACTACAGTCGATTTCAGAGACACACTGTGGTGTTATTTATCAACAAAGTCCTTTTTGGTCAGGGTGCTAGATCGAGGAACCTATGTGTAGTGTCCCTTGGGGGCTCCTAGATTTAGGGGGTCCTGCGGACCTCCTCATGAGAGCGCATAGGCGTTACGCCACTGTGATCAGAAGTTAGTTTTACCCTAGATGGCAGGATTCTCTAGATACAGAATATTCCCACAATGTATCAGCACCAATATTTATGACTGAGGTAAATGATGTGACTGAAGAAAAAAATGATTTAGAAGAAACATTGCTACAGAGCAGGACAGAACATTTTCCAAAGATGTAGGACATTCAAATTAAGCCTATGAAGAAGGGGAAAACACAAGTCTGTCAAAAGAAAATTATGACAAAGTATGTTGTTGAAACAAAACTTTCCTTAGCCACACTGCGGCCCGCAGTGCGTATCGGCTAGGCGTACAGCTAGGACTGCCAAGGATTACGGTACGGTAAAACAAAGAAAAGGCGTATTAAAATAAAAAATTGGCGTTTGTGAGCAAAACATTTTAATTTTATATAAGTAAGTAGTAAGTATATGAATAATTTTAATGCACTAGTTAGTTGATAACTTCATTCTAATTTGTTTTGGGTCTTTTTTCTGCATTTTTATAAGCGGTTAGACATGGCCTAGGCTGCCTATTTGATGTTCATTCTAATACTACAAAACACATCAATTTTAACTCAAATTTGTAAACATACTTGCCTTATATCTTAACTAGCAGGTGATTTTATTGGTAAATTAGTTTGTTCTTAAGTGTGTAAGTATATGAATGATTTGCATGCCAAGTGAAATTACCCTTATATTGCTAGGCCTAGCTGTACGCCAAGCCGATACATAGTGCGGGCCGCAGCGCCGCAGTGTGGCTAAGGAAAGATTTGTTTTTTCTGAGCATCTGCAGATTGTGCTTATGTGGCTCATTAGCATAACAATACCACACATAAGACTAATTCCAGTTACACAGCTTAAACCAGCCAGCTTCCTATCCTGGTAACAGTTATAAGTCCTTGGTTGAAAACTTAACAATTAAGCCTCATGGATGCCTAGGTCATAGCATGGCGGTGTTATGAGTAATGTTTTTTGGGTTTTGTTTCCTTTGAATATTGATAAAATATCCCTTGTATAGTCATTAAATTTTCATAGCTTATAGTCATGAAATATTTAGAATATATTTTAAAATGAACAAAAAAAAATTGTGTATTGTGTTTTATTATATTTATAGTGATTGAAAAAAAAATATCCCATAATTTTACTCTTTAAGATTTTGCAGTTTTGAAAATATTTTTTATATTTACTTTTTACATAGTATGATAGAGATTCCTCACAAGACCCATACCTAGCATGCATATTTTTGTAGCAATATATTTCTCTTTGAAAACAAGTATAGAATTGTAATATTTTATTTTTAATAATCTTTTTTTTTTGTTTTCTATCCCCCATCCTGTTGCTAAATTATGCATCACATCTTTTCTGTATTCATATTTATATTCTTCTATTTTTCTGATGAATTTGCTGTTCTCTTATACATCATTTTTCAAATTTTATTTCTGTCTGTACATCAATTCAATTTCATTTCAAAAATAACATTTCATAATCGTGACACTTCATAATTAATATTCATATTTGTTAAAAAAAATCTAATTCTTAATACTAATAAAACACATGTAACGCCATAAATATTCATGGCATGTGTGATTAACACATTCAAAACTTCAACAATTTCTTACTTCATACGTTGTGTGGCTTTTTTTCTACTTTCCGTTCTTATATCATTCTTACTTCGTCCTTTTCCTATGCACTGTACACTTTCCTGTAAACACTTGCATGTGAACCAACAGTGGTAGATCACGTAATGGAAGGCGTTACCATGGTAACCATTTGACCACAACACCTCCTCCTCCCGCACAGGTATGTTTGCCAAAGATCACCGTCTATTTTTTGCTTGTGTAGTCAAAAACCATCTGGCACAATTTAGTTCCCCGGAATACTATGATATTTTGGTTATTCTTCTGAATTAATGTACAACTCATACATAAAAAAATATATGCAAATTGTATCAGATTGTATATATATAATGGAGGCAATTCTACAAGGTTCATCATTATAGTGTACTACAGATCCCTTAGGAAAGATGATGTGCTGAAATACGTTTGATCGTTTAATACCTTAAATTTCATGTAAAGGGACTGAATAAAAACCAGGCTTTGTCAGCGATATACTCCTCTGTACATCTTAGCTAGGCTTTAACTGTTCAAATATATCTACATCTATATGTCACACGAGGCATATTTCTGGTGTATTATATTTTATTAAGCGCTCTTTGATTACCATTATTTACCATTATGTTATTTTAATTACTATATTGCATACAAGTAAAAATAATAGCCGTCACTATTATGACACATTTCTGGTAATTTTATTAAGTAATTTTTATTAACTTTATTTACCATGATTTACCATTATATCATTTCTATTAGTTACTATGTATTAAAATTGCCACCATTATTATTTTTGTTGTTATTATTATCTTTATTATATTTATTTATTCTATTATTTTGATAATTCTAATTGGTCGACTAAATTTTCTAAAAAGTACAGTATATCAAGCGAGTGGTGTAGGTTGAAACCAGATCATTTAGACAACAGTGGTCAATACAGGGGGAGAGCATATAAAATCAAAACAAGATGATGCTTGATTACAAATTCAACATTTTATTGCACTACAGTCTGTTTCATTAGGTACTTCCTCAATCGTCAGGTGCTAGGTCAGGAGCCTAGCACCTGAGGATTGAGGAAGTACCTCATGTTGAAGTACATGTTGACTTTGTAAGCAAGCGTCATCTTGTTTTTGAT